GCGCCGAGGCCTGCAGGGAGCACAAGAAAGGGCAGTGAGAGCCAGACAGTGAGCGCAGTGGCCCGAGAGTGTGTCGCGCGTGCACACACCCGCCCGCCACCACAGGGGTTCGTGCTGTCGGGCCTGGCGGTATGGTCAGGCTGCGTGGCCTGGCCCTTTCTGTGCTGAGTGTGTGTCACGGGCGATCGCGCTGGCCAGGGTCAGGCGCTAACGACACCTGGCTGATGTTAAATCATTTTGGGAGCCCAGACACCTCCCGCTAACAAGACACACTGCCACAGGCCCGGGGGGATGCCGGCCCCGGGGAGGTTCATTTAGTGCAGTTTGGTTTCCAGATTTCACGCCCCGCCAGGCTCCCCCGCCAGTGCCCACGGGCTGATCAGGGCTGATGGGTGGATTCAGGATGGGGGCAGCACCTGCATCACCGTCGGGCTCGGCGCCCCGGGCTCGAAGCTTGTTTCTGGGAGGCCTGCGAGCCCCAAAGGGGGGCGTCACCAGGACCCGCGAGAAAGCAGCTGCCGGCCCCGTCCCTGGTGAGCGGCGGAGAGCGTGGAGTTTCATTGCCTAGTGTTAAAACAACATGTCCTGTTGTCACCTGTACGTTTTACAGACAGAAGGATGAGGCGTCAACAGAATCACTTTCCGTGCGTTTGCGGAAGGCTCTTTTCACAGAGGCGCCGCCCGAGCCCCGCGGTCCGTGCTGTGTGTGAGGTTTGTCCTGCACCTCGCCCCCTTCCCAAGTCATAGACTTCCAGCCACCTCAGGGGGAAAACAGCCGTCTGTTTTCTTGCATTTAAAGGAATGGGACAAATCAAAGGAGGGAGGGGCCTCGTGCTCCCAGGGAACCGGCTGCGCGGCGTACGTCGGCCTTCGCAAATGGAAAAACGGCAGCATGGATTTTCCTTCTATTATTTTACTGTTCGTCGTGGTAAAAAAATCAATTAAAGAGAAATTATCTTTCAGCTTCAGCAGGAAGGTGTCTTCACACTCTGCTGTGAAACTCCGGGTGCGCAGAGGCTTTGCGGCGGTGGGACGCGGGGGCCCTTCGGAGGCGGGGCGCAGGCCTCCGCGGGCCAGCGGGGACCGCACTCCCTCGCCCGGGACCACACGCCTCCGTTTCCCAGCCAGCCAAACCCTCTCTCCTCCCCGTCCCTCCTGCTCCTGGGCCGATCCTCTCCCTGAGCAAACTGCTCTTCGGCTTCCGGGCCCGGCCCGAGTGTCACCGTCTCTGCTAGGTCTTCCGGATGCCCCAGACATGTCAGCTTCCCTCCGGGCCATCCATCCGTCGCCACCCACCACCCACGCATCTGTCTACCCACCTGTTGGCCCGTCCAGCCATCCACCCGTCTATCCAACAGAACTTTCCCGAGCACCTACTACGTGCCAGCCCCACTGTAGCCCCTGGGGTCCCACCCCTGGTGGGATGGACGGTGTAGCTCACAGTATGCACACAGCTGTCCATCCGTCATCTGTCCATCCACAGAGCCCTCCACCCACCACCCGTCATCCACCCATCCACCCACCATCCATCTACACACCATCCATCCAAATATCTGTCCACCCGTCCATCCATGCATCAGTGCATCCATCCATTCATTCATTCACCCACCAACCATGCATGGATCCGTCCATCCATCCATGCATCCACCCATCCGTCCACCATTCACCCATCATATCCCTATCCATCCGTCCATCCAACAGACCTTTACTGAGCATCTACCGTGTGCCAGCCCTGTTCTAGCCACCGGCGTCCCACTCTGGGGGGATGGACAGGACAGCTCACGCTATGCTAAAGACTTTGCTAAGAGCTTTCCAAATATTTAAGTCATTTGATCCTTCCCATTTAACAGATGAGAAAACTGAAGCCCGGAGACGACAACTCTCTCAAGACCACTTGAGAAGTGGGGAGGGGGAACCCAGGCCGTCTGGGTCACAGGCCAGAGTCTTGGCCACTGCCGGGCTTGCAGCGCTCTGTGGCCTGCAGAGCACGCTGTTTGGTGACTGGTGCTTTCATGTCCCTGACTAAACCTCGAGGGGCGGGACCGTGGCCTGTGTGGGCGTGGCTTGGCATCCCTGACCACCCAAGGACAGAATGGAGCCCACCACAGCAAATGCCTCGGCCACGCCCCTGCACGCTCGGGCTCCAGTCAGTATTTTATTTATTTTTTTATTGTCTGTCTCTCCACTAGAAGGTAAGCTCTATGGGCAGGGGTTTTTGTGTTTTATTCATGGGGGTGGCCCTCGGGTAGTCGAGTAGTTGATGCCTGGCGGAAGCTCATTAAATACTTTGAAGGAGAAACCCATCTGCAGGGTAAGGGACCCATCCTGCAGATGAGGACACTGAGGTACAGAGAGACCTGCCCACGGTCCCCTGGCAGGAGGCAGTGGCGCCCGGATGCCCCCCGGGGCTGTCTAGCTGGAGGACCTCAGTGCTTGGCCGCTACACTCTGCGAGTCCCCAGCCCACCTGGACGTGACCTTGGGGCCCGGGTTCATCCGACCCCCTCACCTCTCTTTACACCGGGGACTGGGAAGTGCCCTGGCTCAGACCGTGGGAGAGGACGGGCTCAAGCCTGGGACACACCAGCCTTCAGAGGACAGAGTAAACCCCGACACGGGGTGACCCCTCCGGCCAGGCCTCGCCCACTCCCCGTCATCCATCAAAGGCCATGGCGCAGCAGGCTGTGGCGTGAACCTGTGGCTGCTGTCACATCCACAGGGGGCCTCAGCCCTAGTTTTACAGCCCAGCAGCCTGCGACGGGGGGGGGTCTTGTCCAAGGTCACAGCCAGCCCAGGGTTCCTGCAGCACCAATGTCCCTTCTGTCCAGGACGCGAGGGTTCTGAAGCCCAGGGAGCCTGTCCCAAGCCACTGAGAGCAGAGACACAGAGCGGGACCGGTGCGGAGAGGAGACAGCAAGGCTCAGGCCTGCTCAGAGGCCACCAAGCCTCTGCCTCCAGGGCCAAGACTGAGCCCGAGAGCCCCTCTGCGGGACGCCAGCACCTAGCCAGAGGACACACCCCCTCCCTGGTCTGCCAACTGCGGCGTCCCGGCACAAGGGATACAGGTGGCCTTTGCGTTCAGCCGTTCCAGGCAGTGCCCTAAGCAGGAGCGAGACTTGTTAAGACCAGAGCCAAGGCCGGCCGCCACATTCCCCGGCACGGACATCTGTTTCCACGCCCGCTCAGCTCACAGCCACGGTCCTCCGCCTCCGGGGGCCCCCGCCTCATAATAGAGTCTAAATTGCACCTTTCAGAGATGCTTGATGGATAACCAGAAGCACTTGGGAGGCAGGGACCCAAGGCCTTTCTGTTCCCCGTCGGCCGGCCTCATCCATCTCGGCTGCCGGGAGGCCCCCTGCCGCCTCCTTCCCCAAGGCCAGCCCCGAGGCTGAGCCCTCTGGCTCCCGGGCGGCAGGGTGGGACCTGCGGATGGGGAGGAAGCCCCAGCGCCTGGAGGACCCTGAATGACCTCGAGGCCTGGCTGCCTGCTGTTCCCTGGTCGTGTGTTTCCTAGCTTATAGGGCCATCAACTCGAACCTGGGAAACCACCCATCTTTCGCGGATTGCTTTGTTGGGCGGCGTGGCTCTCTCAGACTCCAGCGTGGTGTGAGTGATGACCTGTGAATCATCCATGACTGACAGCTGGGTCCCCGGCCGGCCACTGGGGGTGGGGGAGGGGAAGCGGTGGCATGGACCAGGCTGCAGGAGCCCAGGACTCCCGCTTAGAGGAGTGCGGCTTGGCATTCGCTCTGCCAGCCGCTGGCTCCTGCCATCTTCCAGGACAGAGAAGCCTGGGTTCGAGTCCTACCGCTGACACTTCCTGGCTATGTGATTTTTTTTTTTTTTTTTTGAGACAGAGTCTCCTCCTGGTGCCCAGGCTAGTATGCAGTGGCATGGTCAGGGCTCATCATGGCCTCCAGCTCCTGGGCTCAAGCGATCCTCCTGCCTCAGCCTCCTGAGTAGCTGAGACTAGAGGCGCGCACCACCACGCCTGGCTAGTTTTTCTATTTTTTGTAGAGACGAGAGTCTTGCTTTGTTGCCCAGGCCGATCTTGAACTCCTGGCCTCAAGAGATCCTCCTGTCTCAGCCTCCCAAAGTGCGGGGATTACAGGAGTGAGCTACCATGCCCAGCCAGGCTGTGTGACTTTTTTTTTTTTTTTTTTTTTGAG